AATACTCTTCAACATATATACAGAGGACCTCTTCAAAACTGATAGAAACGTAAAAATCTTGGGATATGCAGATGATTTTGCTATATTTATGAAAGGAAGAAATATAAAAGAAATGGTAAAATATATAAACGAATACCTCCACATACTGAATAGCAGATTGGAAGAGGTTAACCTAAAATTAGCACCAGAAAAATGCGAAGCAGTCTGGTTCACCAGAGGAAAAAGGAAAAATAATTTAGACCAAATTAAAATACTAGATCACGAAATTCCATACAGAGAGTGTTCAATATCTTGAAATAACGTTACAAAGAAACTTAAAATGGAACTTACACGTAGAAAAAATGGCACAAAAAGCAATGGCAGGATGTAATCTCTTAAAAGCCTTCTCCACAGTTTGGTGGGGGTCCGACCCTAAGATCATGTTGACAGCGTATAGGGCACTAGTCAGGTCACACTTGGATTTCGGATCAATTTTTTTCAACAACCTAACAAAAAAATTGACTATAAAGATAGATAGAATTCAATTTGCAGCCTTAAGAATCTGCCTAGGAGCCATGAAATTCACACCCACCAACGCTCTTTTGGCGGAGAGCTCCGAAAAGCTTTATCCTACAGGAGAAAAATTTTAGAGTTAAAAATTTTAGCGTTAAAACTTTTAACAAAACATATAGGAATAAAACAGCATCCACTAATTCAAATTATAACAACTTTAAGAAGATATTATTTACAAAACCCGTCTAATCAACGAATACCGATAATAGTACATGCCTTTGTTTCCGTTCCTGCCATATACCAAAAAAATATCTTATCATAAAAGTTTTCCATGTTACGACATCAGCATGTAGAATCAAATAAAGAACATAAAAACGCTCAATTTCGACTTAAAAAAGGATGACATTGACATTGCACAAACATTTTTAGCAACTACATCAAGATACAAAAACACACATAAGTTTATTTATACAGACGCCTCAAATAAAAAAGACAGAGTTGGTTTTGGAATATATATCCCAGAAATAGACCTCAAATTCTCTAGCAAATTGCCTAACGAGTTAGAGATATGTAATGCTGAAATTGAAGCAATCCACGAAGCAGTCGACATGGCAATTAAGAAGAAATTCGAAAACGCTATAATATTCTCTGACTCGTCAAGTGCAATTAGGAAGATAAGCAGGACAGGCGTAAGTATAGACTCGAACTTGCTGACATTGAGAACAAGTTTACTGATAGAGGCAAAGACGGGGGGGTGCGACATTGCGTTGGCCTGGGTCCCGGGACATGCCGGAATACAGGGCAACGTGGTGGCTGACACC